TTAACTGGTGGTGTTTAAAAGGAGTAACGAAAGCACCAAAGTCTCCTGAGAACAGCCTTTTAGCGTGGTCTCTTTACCTGCATCTATACATTTCTGATAGAAGGATCAGCACAGGGCTGGACCCTGTCCACAGACCAGAGGTTGAAGATGTCCTAAATTTCCACTGCCTCCAAATTGCTGTACAGCTCCTCCATCTCTATTACCAACTCCTCCCCACAGTATGCACCCTCCTGTCTTTGGGCTCCATCATTCACTGCAGCTTATCCTAGAGCTCAGGAACCATACAAGAAATGTCTCCTGCAGTGGTGGGGGCTGGCAAGTCCAAAGTCCCTGCATCGGGTGTCAGGCTGGAGATTTCCGCTGACCCAGGTGGCTGAAGGGCCTGATGAATCCACACCGGCAGGTCATACAGCAGTGGAAGCTGACAAATCCAGTCAGATGATAGGATGCTGGCTCAAGTCCCAAGGACTGAGGTCAGACATCGGGGATTCTGAGCAAGAGAGCAAACTTATACATGGATGCAGACCATGCCCTCAACCACACCAAAGGTGGTGGCTGGAGTCACACCCTTTTGGGAAGGCAGAGACTCAAGCTACATCCCACCGAACTCCTCCCTCAACAGGACAAGGAACAACTCACTCCCAGAGGGAACCAGGGGCCAGGATCTTCAGCACACTGCAGACCTGAGGGTCAGGACTAGAGGGCGCCACAGCACCTCACCCACATGCATTGTTTCTGCTGCTAGCTGTTTACAAGATCACTTAGAGTCCCTGTAGGAAACTTACAAGTCCCTGGTTGGCTCAGAGGGTGAAGCACTGGACCCCTAGCAGAAAGTTTGGTGGCTAGACCCACCCAGAGGCACCTCGGAAGACAGGCCTGGCATCTGCCTGTGGGAGTCGCAGCCTGGTGGAGGAGCCCTCTGCCATGTGCCTGCGGTCGAGTGGACCGCAGATCGCCAAGTCTTTCCTCCTGATTACCAACGACCTTTGGCTGTCAGCCAGCCATTCAACCACAGGGCTGTGGAAAATAAGGATTTTTAAGAGAAAATAAAAATCACCCACAGCTATTCTCTAAGGAATGGTTTTGTATTTAAATCTGTTTCTGTGGCTGTGTGCTGTGTCTGAACGTCACAGGGCAACAGCAAGTTTGCAGACTCACTGCCAGGGAGCCGATTCCAACTTACAGCCCCCCTGTTAGGGGGCGGGCACCTGTAACCCTTTAGAGGAGCAGGCAGCTCTAACTTTCTCAGGAAGGAGGAGTGACTGGGTGGCTTGAGCTGTTGACCTTGCAGTTAGCAGCCTGGGCTGGCCCCTCAGTACCACCAGTTTCCTTAAAGGATCGGGTGAGCCTCTGTACCTCCTTGTATCTACCCATCACTCAGCCTTGTTAGTGTTAGACAGTTTATTTTGTGGGTGAACACTGATAAGCCTGCCGCCATTGGGCTGACCCCGACCCATAGTGACCCTGTACGACAGAGGAGCATTACTCTGTAGGGTTTCCTCGGCTGTACGTGTGCACAGAAGCAGACTGCCTCATCTTTCTCCCATGGAACAGCTGTAGGGTTTGGACCTCCAACCTTCCAGTTAGCAGTCCAACACTCAGCCCACTGTGCCACCAGGGCTCCACTTTGCATGGCAATGGTCCATGTGCACTGACTTGCCCCCAGCATTAGTGCCCTCGTGGCAGGTTTGTTTGCCTGCCATTCCCTATGGAATGAGGCCTCATGTCACTAATGAGCTGTGTGGCAAACAGGCAGCCACATGCCCTGGACCAGAGGTGGAGTGGGGCTGGGGCATGATCGAAAGCAGCAGAAGGCCAGTGTTGCCTTGCCCCCCTCTGCTTGTGCCCTGTCCTCTCCACCCCATGAGGAGAAGGTGGTCTGACCTAGAGGGAGGGGGCTTTCAGGTGGAGGGGAGGAAGGGAGGGAAAGGGGGTGGGTCAGTGCTGGGTTGGAGGAGGTCGGGAGGGAGCAGAGGAGAGAGAGAGAAGCCACAGTCTGGGAGGCAAGCGAAGGGGGCCGAGAGAGATGGACTCCTTGTGCTGACTGCCCGCCCACTTGCTCACTTGCTGGCAAGGTGACGAAGCTCCACCGTTCCTGTCCACACACCAGCGACCCCCGGAGAGATGCCGGCCATCCTGAAAACCCTCCGCAGCCACTGGAAGAAGACGGCGGCCGGGCTCGGCCTGCTGACCTGGGGGAGCCACTGGATCTACGGCAAACACTGGTAAACACTGACACCCCGGCCCTTTAACAGCAATGGATGCACCTGACAGCCACCCCCCCACCCCACCCCCCACTAACAACAGTGAGGACACCTGTCACATCCAGTAGTGATGGGAACACCTGACAACCCCAACATTGATGGAGGGTTGTCCTGACACCCATCCCCCAGCAACCCCCCAATAAGGACGGGGCTACCTGATACCCCACCTCCAACAATGGTGGGGCCACCTGACACCCCACCTTCCCCAACAACAAAGCCCCAAACAGCCTGTGCTGATAGC